CATACTACATAAGCGACTACAGCTAAGCGCTAGGAGACGCATAGCCTCGTGTAGTCCGGACCGGATAAGTCCAAGTTCAACAGGTACCGCACCGACAACTGCCGTTTCGACGGAATGGACTTTGACGAGTTCCTGGCCGAACTCCGTGCGAACCACCTCCCCAGCAATTGGGACGTTGACATCAAGACGCAAATCATGAACGCGCGACAACGTGAAAACCAAACATTTGCCGAATTCGTTCTCGGGCTCGAGGTACTCAATACTCAACTGCGCGCTTCCCCCTCTCGCTTCTCTCTTGATGGTCTCCGCCTCGTCATCGAAACCCATGTCTGTGACAGCCTTCGCCCGCTCATCCAGTCCGACGAAATACAGGCCATTCCACTCGAACAATATGTCCGCTGGAAATCGGCATGCAATCGCGCCGACGATCAACGTCGACGTCAAGTCGACGTCATCATGCAAATTCTGACCGCGAACCAAGCTCCGGGCAGCCGCCGTGGCAACACCACTGTCACCGGTCCTTCGAGCAAGGTTTCCCTCCCGCAACTCACCGTGGCGGAACGCCAGATTTTGACAGCGAACAAGGGATGTTTCAAGTGCCGCCGCCTCAATGTCGTCACCTCCACCCACATGTCCGGCACCTGCCCTAATGGCGCCCCGGACGGAGCCACATACGTACCTCTCACCACCAAATACCCTCACCTCGTTGCGCAAGGCCAAGGCTCCAAAGAGAATGTCCGCCCAAAGCGCACCATCGCCAGTGTTAATGAAGACACGGACATGGCCGACGCCACCACGGTCGCCTCTGTTGCCGCTGTGGGTTTGTCCCCCTTGGCTCAGACGACCGGCATCCTCGGCACTGGGTCCGACTCGGATGAATCGTGCGTCCCTCCTCTCTTTGCTCCCCAAACCTTCCTTCGTGCTCGTCTTACCCCCGATCCCGACGCCCCCATTTTTGACATGCTCATTGATGGCGGTGCTGGTCCAGTGTTGGTTAGGCGCGATGTCGCTGAATCCATGGGAGTCCCGTTGCGACGGCTCCCCACTGCACATAGACTGGGCAATGCATGGGGGAAGGCTTCGGAAGGTGTGAGGAGTGAAGAATGGGTCAAATTGAAAGTTCTGTTACCGGATTTCTCGTGGTCGTCTCGTGTATCCCGCGCAATAGTTGTCGATAACTTGTGCGCGCCTGTAATATTAGGCAAGGCATGGCTCGAAATCAACAGCATCATTGAAGATCATGCCGCGCACCAGCTTCTCGACAAGTTGTCCGGTCGCGACCTTCTCTCTCCCCCTCCTCCTCCTGCCCCCCCTCCTGCAGACGCTCGCAAGCGACACCTGGCTGAACGCAATGCCCTTGCCGAACAGCAGCAGCTTCACCGCAACATGTTCACCGATCTCTTGTCACACACAACTGCCCAACGGCAAGCTGCCGACTCCACTGCTGCTAACCCCATTTCCCTTACAATCTCGGCGGTCCGCTCGCATGTGGAACGACTTGCTCAGCTGGAATCCCTCGAGCGCGAGAACACCGCCATGAAATCCGCCTTTTCCGACCGCTTCCCTTCCGACATCCCGCACATTGACCAACTACCCGCCAACGTCCACCACCGCTTCATCCTCAAGGACGCGAACCTCACGATCGCACGTCGTCAATATGATTGCCCCAAGAAGTATCGCGAGGTCTGGAAGTCGCTCCTCGACGAGCATATCGCCGCTGGGCGACTGCGCGAGTCGGATTCCCCGTACGCATCCCCTGCGTTCCTCATCCCCAAATCTGACCCCACAGCCAAACCCCGATGGGTTAACGATTACCGCGCACTGAATGCCAATACTGTCGCTGACATGCATCCTCTCCCATGCATTTCAGACATCCTCGCAGATTGCGCTAAGGGCAAAATCTGGGGGAAGCTCGATATGACGAACTCCTTCTTCCAAACCCGTGTACACCCGGACGACATCAAGTACACTGCTGTCACCACTCCATTTGGGCTTTTTGAATGGACGGTAATGCCCCAAGGTTGTCGCAACGCCCCCTCGACGCACCAACGCCGGATGAATAAGGCGCTGCGCCACCTCATCGGTACCATCTGTCATGTATACATCGACGATATCATCATCTGGTCCCAATCCATCGAAGAGCACCGCCATAATGTCCAGCTAGTGCTACAAGCCCTCCACGATGCCCACCTGTATTGCTCTGACAAGAAAACCCAACTGTTTCTCCTCGAGGTCGACTTCCTCGGTCACCACATCTCTGCCCGTGGCGTTGAACCGGACAAACAGAAGATCGACAAGATCCTCAACTGGCCCACACCGCGTTCCGCGACGGCGGTACGCGCATTCCTGGGCCTTGTGCGATACGTTGCCAACTTCCTTCCCGATCTCGCGTCCCATTCCGTTGTGCTCACACCTTTGACTTCCAAGGAGGCTGAGACTGTTTGGCCGGGTTGGCAGCCCGCCCATCAGAACGCCTTCGAAGCGGTTAAACAGTTGGTTTGCAGTCACCGCTGCCTCACTGTCATCGACCACGATGCCCTAGACACCAATTCGATATTCGTGTCCTGCGACGCTAGTGACCTGCGCACGGGTGCCATGCTCTCCTTTGGCCCCACCCTCGAAGCTGCTCGCCCGGTCGCCTTCGAGTCCGCACATCTCAGTGGTGCGGAACTGAACTACCCCGTTCACGAGAAGGAACTCCTGGCCATCGTCCGCGCACTCAAGAAGTGGCGGGTCGACCTCCTCGGTGTACCCTTCACGGTCTTCACTGATCATCGCACTCTAGAGAACTTCCATCGTCAGCGCGACCTTTCACGTCGCCAAGCACGCTGGCAGGAATTCCTTGCGCAGTATGACTTCGAGATCAGGTATCTCAAGGGCGAGGACAACGTCGTGGCTGATGCCTTGTCCCGCCAGGACTTCCACGAGTCGACGACCTGCGCCGCGATCACCGACTTGCGCATTGCGACACGCGCACTCCGCTTCTGCAGTAGCGGTAGCAACGAGCGGGATGGTGACACCCTCATCGCATCCGTGCCTCATGGGAGCTTGCGGATCG